TGAACCAGCTTTACCATCCTATTGTTCCCTCATGAATTTACAACAGAGTTATAGTTTTAACTTCTTTTGAAAATTATACTTTGACAACATCCTTAGCATGCACACACAGGTATATGTCTCTGAATAAGTGGCTGGTTCCACCAATTAAAATATGGCTATCCCTCCCCGCCCCACTCCTCGTACTATTTCCGTATTTCCAGTGAATCTCTGAGATCCTAGCAAGACCTAGAGATGTGGGGGAATTCCAAGGTCATTACTCAGTTCCTCCTTTATCTTTCCTTCTGAAGATCAGTAGGGTTTTACCTCAGGCTTTTCATTTCCAGTAACCACCAGCCTTGGTGTGTGTTGTCAGGGACGGATTACCCCATAAGCAAGGTATGCACAGGCTTGCTTGTGCTTACTTACTAATATGCAGTGCACAATTTCACCTGTTTTTCACACACATTAGTGCATACCTTGCTTAATGTAAGCTCTTACTGTTTAATCTGACCCTGCCACCGACCCTTTCCTTCCTCCCTGGGCCCTCCTGGTGTAGCTGATCCTGAAGTAAATGAATGTTTGCAAACCAACCTGCCTGGCCTTCTCTTCCCATCTTAGAAATACGCACTCAAAGCAATTCTATGTTTTAAATACTTATACTCTTAATATGACACACATACAACCGTTAAAAAAAATAAATGAAGGGTAAATTACAGAGAGTTCAAATTCTTAAAAAAAATACTTGTCATGTTTGTCTCCTCCCCCCTCCCTCCTTCACCCAACCCCATCTCTTCACCCTTCCGCAGCCTTCATTTAAACTGTAAATGAGTCAGCTCTGCTTTCAGTGAAGTAACCTCTTTTCTTTTTTTCATACTCCATGAAAGTTCCCTTGGGATTTTCAAATCATCCCTTCCAGCCACCACTCTTTTATTCCTAGGGGTTGACTTATCAAGCCCTCTACCCTCTTTGAGAAAGGTGTTAACTAACCTGCCATTCAAGTTACCTCAGACCTAGAAGGATCTTTTTAACATCTGGAGGAAGCTCCAAACTGGTGTTTCTAACCTCGAGGTCCACCACCTGGCTGGGCCTCTACTTCACCTGGGAAAAGTCAATTTAGGTCATTGCCTAATAGGACCCAGGCTTGAATGACCTGTTGAGCAGGGGGTCTCAATCAAGGAGTCGGGGTGGGGGAGTGTGAGTATTACAATGCTGAGAGCAGAATGGGATGTGTGAGGGAAAAGGCAGGCCAATGTCTTTTGAAAAGGCACTTACTTCATTGTAATTTTATACTTGGAACAATTTTAAACATGATTATTTTTATAGTATAAAGTACAGAGAATTAGGCAGGACAAAATTAGCTGGTGGTAATGCAGTGAAGATGCAGCACTTCTCCCTGGTGGGATGGGGTGGGAAGCAGAATTATTAGAATCTCCTGGAGATTTTCATGTGTATCAAAAACGGACATTTAAAAAAATAGTTGAGGGGTATTGTGGGACTCTGGACAAGGCTTTGGTATAGCTCAGTCCTTCTATTCTTCCAAATTCCCAAAGGGGTTTCACATAGCCTAACCTACAATTTTCCAACCCAGGAAAAAGTCAGCTGCAAATGCAAAAGTTTCTAAGCTATATTCAAATTCTCTGTGGAAAAAAAATATGATAATAACCTACAAATTAGAAACAGTATATGTGACACAGTTAACTTTTAGCTATGTTCTAAAGAGTAATAAACTAATACTTATAACACTCCTTGGATTATTTGGATGAAATGTGGCTTATATCAGTGGGTGTGCATATACATACACAATATTATAAGGAAAGATTTATGATAACTCAGTGACTAGTGAAAGGTTGCTTCAGGAAACATAAATCACTGGAGATCAAAGTCATAGTTTTCCCTGAGGGATTTCTAAAGAATTTACATTTGAATTGGATCCTGGAGCTCTAAATCTGAATTCATCACTAATTCTTCAAGAAATATTGGAGTTCTATATAAGATAGCACTATAGAAATGAAATTCCAGTGATAATAAATTGGTTAGGTCTTTTAACCTTATCATTATTATGTTACTCTGCTAAGCTGTTTCTTGGCTCTAAATTCAGCTTGTCCCCATAGTATCAAGAATCTGACCTCAAATAGGTTTCCTAAATTATCCCTTTTAATAAATACCGTTCTTTGAAGTGTAAAAAAAAAAAATCTCAGATGGAAAACTCAAGAATAAAAAAGAGCCGGAAATAATGTAAAATTCTTTACCTGGGCTTCTTAAATCTGTATTTGTGAGCAAGATAGATGTATAGAGACAAAAATTATTTTCTAGGGGCTGAGCTCAAAGCTACTGTAAACACCAAGATATATATGTCTTTACTGACTCAATGAACAATTTAGACTGCCACTTTTGATTCATCTGTTTCATCATTATGAAAGATGAAGTTAATTCCAGGAAAACATTGTTGTCATCAAGTTGGCTTTGACTCATGGCGACCTTATGTATAACAGAATGAAACATTACCTGATCTTGTGCCATCTTCACAATCTTTGATGTGTCTGAGCTCATTGTTGTGGCTATTGTGTCAATCCATCTCATTGAGGGTTCCCCCTCATTTTTGCTGACCTTCTACTTTACCAAACACGATGTCTTTTTTTCTATTAAGAACTAATAAAGAATAACACATTTAAATATGGTGGATCTAAAAGCATTCAATAAATGATTTCCCGTATCAGAAACCAAATATCCATACCTATTACCCATTGTTGTTGATTCTGACTCATAGTGACCCCATAGGACAGAATAGAACTGTTCCATATGGTTTCGAAGGCTATAATCTTTACAGAAGCAGATTGCCACATCTTTCTCCTGTGGAGTGACTAGTGGGTTTGAACCACTGAACTTTTGGTTAGCAGCCCCTTGCTCGCTGTGGGTGGTTTATTGAAACTTTCTGTGCCTCAGTTTCCTTAACAATAGTAGTTACCTCATAGGATTGTTAGAGGATTAAATGAGACCATGTAAGTAGGAAAACTATGTGTCTGGCATGTAGTAAAGGGTCAATGCATCTCAGCTATTATAATAATTATCATGGTTAGCAGATTCAAACTATTGACACTGACCGAGGCTTTGAAATAGTCTTTAATCCATATTTTGGTATTGCTCCCCTTTCTAATTACATTTTACTTGGTGCAAAATGTGGTCATCAGATTCATACCATATTTTAAATCCATGCCATAAAATAAGCTGTTACATATTTTATTTGGGGGCTTAAAGGGGTATTTCTTCCAACTGTTAAAATCACTCAGCTACTTCATTGTGAGAGAGGAGGAAAGGAAACAGTATCTGTTGAATATATTGTCTTCTTTTTCTGTTACTGTTCATCTACCGAATGGGCAGGATTCACCTTGGAAGATCTCATGGGAATAGCGCCATTTGGAGAGTAAAAGAGGCAGCACAACGCAACACAAGAAAGTCCTGAATTAACAGTTCCCAGGGTCCTGAAGAAATGAGAAGATTCACCAGAAGTCTAAATTCCTGTGTAGACAGACAGTTCTCTTTGCATGACCAAAGGACTCTTACTTTCCTGAAATTACTCTGGGAATATTTCGTAGGAACAATTTGAATAAACTAATTCACATCAGTGTGATTTAATGGCTGTTTTGCTACCAAATCAGCCATGTTTGGCCAGCCTTGCTGTCTTCACATTTTTCTTGGTGTTTATTCTTAAGCTTAGCAGCCAGCCAAACTTCGAGCAGAACATCAATATTTAAGAGTGAAATGTATTACAAGTTTACTAACTGTTCTGCAGATAGACCGAGTTTATGTGGTTTACGTTTTTGTACTTTTTTATTTGTGATACTCTGAACGCATGAAATTTTGGCTTTTTTCCCCCACTACTGACAACATGTTAAACATTAGTAAAAATGTGTCTTTAGTTCATTTAAGAGATTTGTGTTATGCTAAGTGTTAGTGGATATACAAGCACATGAACATGAGAGTAATTTTATTAAAGAATCAAAATGCATACATAGACACAGGATATTTATCTTATGGCAGTGATAAATTGAAGTCTCCCCTGCCCACAGACATAAATATTTTTCATTGAACTAAAGAGCTATAAAACTGTTTCTTAACACAAAAATGTTTTAAGTTGAAAAAAAAGTGTTTTTTACTGAAAGCAAATTTTAAACAAATGGGTTTATTTTTATGCCACTTAAAAATTAAGAAAAAATCTTAATTTATAATTACAGAATTATTATTATATATATGTATTTACTTTAGAAAGAACTTGAATGGATTTACTTCAAACCCATTTTATTTTAAAAATCTGTTTTGAAAAAAGAAAGTGATCATGTGTCTTTTCAGACATCAAATCGTACTAGACAAAAGGAAGCGTTTTGCGTTAGCTTCTGGTCATGAATGGCACCTTTTCGACCAATCAGAGAACCTTCAGAACTGGCAGGGTCTTTAAAGATTATTATATATTCTGTTTCTGTGGATAAGGCACCTGAGTCGCAGAGAGAATAGGAAACCTTTATAAGGTCATGGAGCTCTCCAGGTGCTCAGTAAGGATCTGTCCCCAGCTTCACTGTTAATGGAGGCAGCTAGGTAGATGCCGTTGGACCCTCATAAGGATCACTTCAAGTTTCCTGGGAAGATGACAGGAAAACCGTGGCTCTTAGGAGGTGTTCTAGTCCCTTTCCTGACGCCGCTTACCCGGTGCCCACGCGTGGAAACCAGCGCCCGCGGGGCTGCGCTGCGGGAAGAGGCGGCGGGGCTGGGGCACATCTTCTTCTCAAGGAGGCGGGTGTGGCTGCCCCCGACCGCTGGCCGCAGGCCGCACACCCGAGCCTGGAGGCGGCCGGGCTCGTTGCTGTGTGATGCAGCCCACACCAGGCGCCGCCTCGCACGTGTCTGCCCAGCACACGGGCCGCTGGCGTTGGGCCTCCCGCGCCGCCGCGCAATCGCTGCGGCCGCCTTGCGCTCAGGCCGCGCTGCCGGCCGGGAGAGAAGGGGCAAGAGTCGCGCCGCCGGCCGCCATGCGGTTCCGCTTTGGCGTGGTGGTGTCGTCCGCGGGGCCCGGGGCCCACCCGGAGCTGCTGGTCGTGGGGTCGCGAGCCGAGCTGGGCCACTGGGAGCCGAGCGGAGCCGTGCTCCTGAGGCCGGCAAGCGCTGGACCACCGGCCCCGCACGAGCCGAACCTGTGGCTCGGGGAGGTGGAGCTGGCGGCCGAGGAGGCGGTGCAGGCCGGGGCGGAGCCCTGCCGCGTGGACACGTTCTGGTACAAGTTCCTGAAGCGGGAGCCGGGTGGAGAGCTCTGCTGGGAAGGTATGGGGAGCTGCGCGTTTCCCGGCCTCGGCCGCGGCCTGGCTCTCCAGGCCGCGGCTGCGCGCTTTCCCGGCGCGTTCGCCAGCTCCCGGGCTCCGAATACCTGCCCCGCACCCTTCAGACGCCCCGGGCTGACCTTGCTCTCCGTGCGACGCTGTCGCTGCAAGCCGCGCTTCTGGCTCCCTACGCGTTCCCAAATTCACGCTGCGTTCCGCCTATCCCGTCGGTCGTCTGACTGACCTCTACCCACACATCCAGTACCCAGCTTATTTCCTAACGTGCTGTCATCGCGCTCCGATCTCCGTCCCACACACCCTGGGCCCCACTCACCCTCCGTGTCCTCCCTGCGCCTGGCTGCCTGGCCAACCTTGCCCTTAATCGTTTCAGTGCTCAACTCTGCCTTCATTGTTTTGTGACATCATTTTCTTGTCGTCAGTTCACTTAAAAAAAAAAAAAAAAATTCCAACTGGTAAAATTAGTTCTCTTGCCAGTCCTAAAATGCAAAATGCTACTTACTGTACAGTATTTTGTTTTCTTAGATGTTGAGAGTGAACAAATGGAAAGACATTAACAGTCTCCTCTTTCAGATTTATTTTTCATCCTTGATGTATGACGATTGAAATATGCCTTGATTTTTTAAAATAGAAAAACAACACATGCTGGTTGCAAAAACAAGTCAAATACAGAAATATACAAGGTAAAAACTTGAAGTGTCTCCTCTACACAATACCAATATATATGTTTGTGTGTATATTTTATTTAACAAGAATTGTATGATACATATATGACTTCTAATCTTGCTTTTTCTTGCTTAAAAATATGCTGTGGATACCTTTCAGTGTCACTAGATATAGATGCATTTCTTTTTTTTTTTTAATAGCAGCATAATATTCTGTTTTTGATGTATCATTCACCTACCAACGTGCAGTTGGGTTGTTTTTAGTTTTCTTCTGCTATTAAGAGTAATCGTGTAATTGAAAGTCTGTTTTTTAGAGTTATCTTTGAGCTTTTGGGAGTATTTTTGAATGGTAGATTCTTAGAAGTGGAATTGTTAAGTCAAAGTGTAGCCACATTTTACAGTCCAATAAGAACTGCCATATTGTGCTCTGAAAAGGTTATACCAGTGTAGACTCCCACCAACTATGTGTGAGTTTAGATGACCCTTTCTTTAAATGAAATGTGTAAGGGGGAGGACTGGAGTGTATTGACTTAATAGTTGTCTAAATCCAGTGAAATGAATCTCTCTTTAGAAGTTTATAGGGGAAAAATGGGCCATTGTGATGTAGAAACAATTAGCAAAGAAGGTGAGTATGCTGGAATATGTTTATGTATTGTCCTTCTTCCTCTTTTTGTACCTCACTGGATTTTATGGTCTGGTGGCATTTATTGTCCTTTTGTATTACCATATGAGAATATAAAAGCACCCTCTTCAGTTTATACCCTTGCTTTACAGGGTATTACTCCAAAGCTCTGAATAATTGGCATATGTTTTTATTTTTTTGGTCTATCAACTTTAACCTTTTCTGTTTTTAATTTTTCTGGTAGTTACTACGTAAGTTTAAATTATATATACATGCATATATATATTACATACTGTCTTAGTGATCTAGTGCTGCTGTAACAGAAATACCACAAGTGGATGGCTTTAACAAAGAAATACTTATTCTCTCACAGTCTAGGAGGCTAAAAAGTCCGAATTCAGCGTGCCAGCTCCAGGGGAAGGCTTTCTCTCTCTTTTCAGCTCTGGGGGAAGGTCCTTGTCATCAGTCTTCCCCTGGGTCTAGGAGCTTCTCAGCCCAGGGACCAAATGATGTGCTGTGCTCCAGGCTCTTCATTCTTGGTGGCAAGAGGTCCCTCTGCGTCGCTGCTCCTTCTCTCTTTTGTATCTCAAAAGAGATTGACTCAAGATACAACCTAGTCTTGTAGATTTGAGTCTTGCCTCATTAACATAACTGCCTCTAATCCTGCCTCATTAACAACAAAGAGGTTAGGATTTATAACACATAGGAAAATCACATCAGATGACAAAATGGTGTACAGTCACACAATACGGGGAATCATGGCCTAGCCAAGTTGACACACATTTTTGGGGGACACAATTTAATCCATAACACATATATATGTAATCTTTATGTATATTATGTAAAGATTACATATGGACCCAAAACCAAAGGAAACCCATTACCATTGAGTCAATTCCATATGTAGTCTTTATTAAAATCAGACACTATCTTTTGACATTTGCTGTGAAATAAGAGAAATTTAGCTTAGGTTCATGACCTCTCTCCTCTCCATAGATTTTTATATTATTATTTAAAATTACACATATATGTATATTAAAAAATTATATACATAGTTATGTACATATCAACCTTAGAAAAATACTGTTTGAGTTTCTATTATATAGAAAGTTCTTTATTATATAATTCTAATATATACAAAGTTAGTCCAGTATAAGAGGTTAAGAAAAGTAGCTCACTTACACATCTCCCTTCCTCTGCTTGGTTCATCACTACTTTTACATTGTCAAGTTGATTCCAACTCATAGTGACCCTGTAGGACAGAGTAGAACTGTCCCATAGGGTTTCTGAGGAGTGGCTGGTGGATTCAAACTGCGAACCTTTTGGTTAGCAGCTGAATGCTTCATTTAAGCACTGCACCTCTGGGGGTGCTTACATTGGCAAGTTTTATATGATTTGTATTGTTTTCTAATTATTGCTAGGTCCCTGGGTGATGCAGATGGTTTGTGCCCCCTAATAACTGAAAGGTTGGCAGTTCGAACTCACTCAGTTGTGCCTTGGAAGAAAGGCCTGGCAATCTGCTTCCATAAAGATTACAGCCAAGAAAACCCAGTGGAGCATTTCTACTCCGTTATCACGTGGGGTCACATGAGTTGGAATAGATTTGATGGCAGTGGGTTTTTGTTTTTTGTTTTCTTGCTTTAGGTTGATGATTGATTCTAAAAATTGTAAATTGACAAAGCATTACGAGAAGTGGTGTAGCCAAGTGTTTAAGACCAAGGATTCTGGAGTCAGATTGCTTGGATTCAACTACTGGCTTTGTGACCTGTACAAGTCACTTAACCTCACCATGCTGTTGTTGAAAGGGTTCAACTGGTTAATAAATGTAAAGAACTTAGAATAGGGTGTTTATTAAGTGCTAAGTAAGTTATTTTTACTATTATAATTGGGAAATCATTACTTGCTGTAGTGTAATCAGACTCATAAAAAGTGAAATATAATTCTGTGACATGAAGCCTGTCACAGAACCTGTGCTACTGGAAGGAAAACAAAAATTTTTCTTAACATTATGAACACTTCTCAAATAACAGAGTTGGCTCTACTTCATATTTGGACCATAATGTTCTTTTATAACTTGTTTTAAAATGTCTAGTTAATCTTTTTAAACTGATCCTTAAAATTTTCTAGCTTAATTGCCAATGATATCACTAGGGTTGGTATCACCCAGTGCAGTAACTCATGATGTCACTCCCTTCCTCCCTCCCCCTTTCCCCCCTTCCCCGTTGCCCCTCCACACCTTCCACCCCCTACTCCCCGGTTCCCCCAGCCCCCAACCCCCACTGGGGGTGGACGGAGCTGTCTGGCCAGTTCCGCCTGTGTAGGGCCTAGTGCCTTGCCAGGTGCCCCCCCAGCCCCCATCAGGCTCAGCCACCTGTGCCTTAACTGGTGGGAAAAGTGGGTGCGGGAGTAGGGAGGTGATGAGTTGCCACTGCCCTTCCTCTGGTGGTGCGGGCCTGCCCACTGCCACTGCCACCTCGGACCCTAGGGTCAGTTTGGTGTCACCCCTTTTGACAGTGTCGGGGATAGGTCTGCACCCACCACCCCCCTAGTGCCCACTATTAATTGCACTATTTGATGACTGTAAGTTGCTTGCTGTATTTTTTCACAAATAATGAGCCCACACATACGATATGTGGAAATAATGAAATTAAGTAAAACAGTTCTGGTATAATGCATGTATTATTTGTGAAAAAATACAGTACTTCCTGAAAACATTTTTTTCCATGAATAATTGGGATTCTTGTTTTAATTTTCACTAATATATGGCTTTCTGGGCACAGCTATAAACCTGGGACTTTTTTTTTTTTAATTGAACTCTGGCGTAATTGCATTCTTTTTTTGGATTCCATATCTTCCTCTTTCTCATGATGCCTGATCATTTTATTGGATTGTATCCTCAAATAATTTTTCAAGAAACGGTAAATGGCAGATAAAATATCTGAGTACTTACATGCCTGAAAATGTCTTTATTTTGTTCTTACAGCGATTGATTGTTTGGTTGAGTATTCTAGTTTCAAAATAATTTCCCTTTGAAGGCCTTGCCTCAGTACCTTTTAGCACCCATTGTGGTTGATAATTTTGATCTCAAACTAGTCTCATTCTTTTGTAGGCAATTGTTTTTTCTTTTGAAGCTTTTACAAGTTTCTCTGTATTATTTTATCAGGATATATCTGAGTCTTTTTTGCTCATATCACTTGGCACATGGTTGGCTCTTTTGATTCCAGAAATTGTTTCCTTCAGCTCAGGGAAATTTTCTTTTATTTCTTGGATAAGTTCTCTTCTTCATTTTCTCTGTTCTTTCATTTAAAATGTCTGTTAGCCATATATTGCCATATATATACCTTCTGCTTATACCTGGAGCATCTTTTAGCTTTTCTCTCATTTTCCATCTTTTCTGTTTGGATAGATTTCCCTGACTCTGTTTCCCAGATCGCTATTTGGTTTTTAATATTTTCCATTCCGTTATTCAGTCTGTCCATTGAATTTTACATTTTGGCAATTATATTTTTAATTATCCAGATTTTTCTGTTATTCTCTGATTTCTCCTTTTTCAGAGTTGCTTGTTCTTGATGTGTGTTGTTGTTGTAAGGTGCCCTCCAGTTAGTTCATAGCGACCATATGTACGGCAGAACGGAAGACTGCCCGGTCCTGTGCCGTCCTCACAGTTGTTATGCTTAAGCCCATTGTTGCAGTGACTGT